CGGGTCGCCACCTCAATCTTTTGCTTCAATTCCGCTTCCCCGTTTGTGAGAGAGACAAAGACGAATTCAGCATCATTCACCATTGCTTGTACAGTTGTCACCACGTAGTGCAGCCTGAGTATGGCATCCAGAAGCCTGAGATTAGCCTGACCGATGCACCTGACTTGGACTGCGTCTGGACCATTGGACACGCCGAAACAAACAAGTGTGTGTGCCTCACTTGCTTGGTCCAGTTTTCGGGCCTGCGATACTCTCCCTACCTCCTCTGCTTCCTCGGAGGGAGGGTATTGGGTCGGCTTTCTAGCTTCGCTCCCATGTGGAATGAGCCTTTCCAATGGTAGGCCGCCTGACAATATTTTTCTCTCTCTATGTGATGGACGTGGATTTGTTTGCATCCCCTCGCCTCGTCCCTGCAAAAGTAGTGTGGCATACAACGGATCGCCTTCTGTGTTCCTGAACCTCTCCCTGACTTGCAGCACCTTCGCTGTGCCTGCTTTTGACATCGCCTTAGTCCAGGCCGTGCACCGTACCTATCTTGCATAGCATTCTCCCATCCTTCGATCCTCATAAAAAGACCCACCATGTTTCTCATTGTCCTCGATTCCGAGTCCTTTTCCCCCATCCTACATCCTAAACCTACCAACATCTTTCAGCCTGCCCAAAGCTTGTAGTCCTTGTCTTCCGACCATCATGCCCCACATTTCCATCCTCTCCTTACCACTACCTAGTATCACTCGCACAAGCGAAGACAATGCAACCTACTTCCAGCAAGCCTCTTCATCCAAACAATCTCTCACGGTTCCCCTCGACTCCCATTTACTTAGGTCGAATTCCAATACTAACCATCCCATCGACACAAAGCACACTTCTCCTGTTGCTTGGGCTATATCTCTCCCCGCATCACCGATCAGCTCTGGGTTCCCAACAAGACCTGCGTTCAGACGCGCATACACCTCCATAGCTGCCTCTTCTATTTCCAACAGTGGAGAGAGTTCGAGGTTTGACGACTTGCATTACTCTCAAACGCACTTTTCCCGTAGTACACTTCTAGTCTACCCCGACTCCGGATCGACGTATCAAGCCAAGTGCGAATGTGTAGTGGGTGAAACCGGAGAAGATATTCGAGAGCTGTTGGCTAGTTCAGACGAAGAATCATCTGCGCCTCACTCAACACCGGCTTTCAACGGTGCAAAGATTCCTCCTAGAGGAAGCTCGCAGTTGACAAGGAACAAGTTTTCTATGGAAAGTGAGATATCAACGCTTTCGCTACCTGAACCAAACACAATCCTTTCTCCTCCTGGTGCTAAGCGGAACAGGTACGTACCTCTCCCCTTCCCCTTTCATCTCTTTTTGTGTGGAATAGTTACTGACCTGATATGGAATTTTCCTGTTGTGGTGGAGTAGAAAATATCTCAGTCAAGTACAGAGTTGGTTGGCGAAGTTATCCGCACGAGCATAAGCTCTGGTTAGGCGTATGACGATGGATCGATTCGATCCAACTCTTCAAGCAATAAAGGGTCGATGAAGAGGAGGTCGAGGATTTTGATGAAGATCATACCTTTCTCTCGCGAGCCTGCCCACCCACCTCCCACGGCTTCAGATCAGGGGCAGAAGTCTGGGACGTTCCCTCGCGCTGCTCCGAGCAAGTATCACAACGATGCTCATGGGGAAGAGGTAGAGACACTCGTGGAGAGGTTTTCGGACCTTCGTACCAACCCGCCTCTCTCGCCTCCGCTTTCGGTGTCCTCATTCAAGTCTACCTTCTCCACTTCTCAGAATGGGAGTACATCTGCAACATCCCCTGAGATGGGTGGTCAGAACGAGCTGTCCACCTCCTCCTCTTCTACTGGTAGGAAGAGTGGGTATTATGGAAGAAGACTCAAAGCAACATCCCGAGAATCGGTCCGATCCATCTTTTCCTCTTCCTCGTCCGCCTCTCTCAAACGAGCCTCTTTGTTCCGAGCAGAGGAAAACGAATGGGAAGAAACCCTCGAACAAGCAGCTTCTCGTGCTTCTTGGCAGAGCAGCATAACCCATCGTCAAAGACAACACCAAATGACTTGGCCGAAAGCGTTTTCTTCCTCTCCCTCTGCCTCCTCCTCCTCTTCCGCACCTCCGGTCGCGGAGTGTCTGTGGCTGGAACACATGTTCGTAGATGCCACAAGCGAGGATGGTCGATATGCCGAATTCACATACTCCGGCTTCCCTGTCGATGGGGGGAGTAGGCAAGCAAGTGATGCCGAAGGCCTTGCTTCCCGCCCTTCTTTCTCTTCCAAATTTGGAAGTTTGGGGAGGATAAAAGGAAGAAGACCAAGAATCTTAGCCAATCCAGCATTAGCTCAGGTGCTAGGAACTCCGTCGTTGGGCAGAGCCGCATCGATGAGGAGAACAAGACAAAACGCTGCGGAAGTTTGGTCTATGGGTCCAAGACGTTCTTCTGCTGCTGCAGCGGGGTCGTTTTCGACAGGGGGAGCAGCGAGGATGATGCCTACCATTCCTCAGGATCATTCTCGGGAGAATTCCCGTGCTGACGAGATCGAGGAAGACTTCGATATCCAGGACGCCTCTTGGATGGGGGTGGACCCTTTTACAAGTGGTTACCCTATTCGACACGATGGTTTCGTTTTAGACGGATCAGGAGAGTTCATCCCCCTTCGTTTCGGATCTTGGAGAAGAGGATCTCAAAACGATCTAGCATTTATCCGTCACAGATCCTCCTTCATCTCCTCCAACAGCCCTTCCTCAGAGAATGTCGGAGGGCCAGTATTCAACCTGCACCCATTCAAACGTCCCTCAGTGGTCGGGAGAAGAAGGTTCTCAAGGTCTGCTGCGGTACCAGACGTTTCAGAGGCAGCAAGTAGCGCTTTAGGGGAAGGAGAGTGGGGAATCGACGAAGGTTGGTGTAGAAGAAGAAGCACCCTTAGTAACGTTCCTTTTGATCCTAGACTCCCCCCGCGCAGTAGCGGCAGAGGTGTAAAGGCTTGCACATTCTAGATATAGGTTCATAGTTATATTTGGTTATATTTGTACGCATTTGTTTAATCCCTTATTTTAGGTATCCTATCTGTTGTAGAACGTGCAGCAAATAGTGGTGATCACAAGTAGCGATTGTGATGATGTTTCAGAACTATGTACAAGGCGATAACTAGTATATATATGCGTCTCCCCAGCACTCTGTGTATGCGTGTACGGCACAGAGGTATGCTACCCTGTAGACAAGGTTGAAACATAACGGGGCAACTATCTTCTCCTCCTCGCGTATCGTGTAGCCGGTATGCCGCCGCCTGTCGCGACAGTCGGCCTGGGCCAACATGATGCGGATCCGAGTGAGCGAAGGTGGCGACAATGTGAGATCGAACTAGAGCTTACATAGTTTCGCTCTATCCTTTGCTTTGACTTTGTGTGCCCAGGTCTAGTTCTCCTACTGAGTCTGATTCTCAAGGTAGGAGAGCTTGGCTTGCACGTGTGCACAGCAGTAGAAGCTCGCACAGTCGACGAGGCAAGGCGCAGTCGAGTACTAGCTCAAGCAGTAGCTCTGCTCGCTGACTGGCATGCATTCGTCCTAGCATCTTCACCAGCATACGCTTACGACTTGACCAGGTTCAGCTTTCCTTTCTCACAGATCAGATACACATTCTCGCAGTATTTGTACTTTCCTCCCTTTTCATAGCATTCGCAGGCAAATTTCAGAACAACCGATCTTTCCAACCCCATCGGAAAACGGAGACGAGTGTCACACATGGCTAGCGTCGCTATGTATCATGTCTCTCTGAACTTGACTCTTTCAGATGGCCTGTGTGGCTATATGCCGCAACTCAGACACACAGACATACATTCTCGTTCTTGGTTCAATCCATATCATTAGCAAGCCGCGACACAAAACCACCCCTCTCACCCATCTCTCGAACTTCCCGGCACCCCCCCGCCTAAACTCGTCACTGCCTTACTATCCAACGGCAACCCCGTTTGAGGGTCTATATTGTTCTTCACCAAAATCTGTTTATGCCTTATCAACCTTGCCTGATCGAAACTGACATCCTGAGTCTGCATGATCGTTTGAATATCTTGTGCTCCACTTGGGTCTAGCCCAGAGCGAGAATCTCCATCGGCGATGTTAGCTGAAATGTCGAATAGAGTGGATGAAAGACCGTTTGCAGTGTTGCTGGACCAGTCGAATCCAGGCACTGGCATATAGCGGCGTGCGGTTGGGGAGAGCGAGCTGAATAAGCGGGAGAATAGGCCGGATGATGGGGGAGAGGTTGCATAGGGAAGAGACACGGAGGGTGGTGGAGGTTGGAGTGAGGCTGGGAGACGGGATGTGAGGGAATGGGGTAGGAGAGAGCGGCTGCGGTAGAGGATGATGAGTAGGGAGAGGATGAAGGTTGCTGTTAGAATGCTGTGGTACATTGTTGCGCGATCCGCTTCGGTTGTTGTCGTCACCTCGCTAGCTTCTGCAGGTAAGATGTGTGTGACAAGGAAAGCTTTGTTCGGATAGCCTACGATCCCACCCAGAGTCCTCTGCTTGATGGTGATGTCGCCGACTGGTATTGATGCGCCGCTCAAAGTCCGTGTGGGGGGTGATGCTGAGTAAGCTACCAGGTGTGGCTTAGGTGAACGTCTGGACCTCGTCTACGTTGAAGACTTTGGTGCTTTGTTTGTTCGCCGTCTATTCAGCTTCACGGATGCGAACAACTGCTAAGTCTTTGATGGACGATCAAGAGGCCAGACCTTTACTTGTCGGAGAGTTTTGGTAATTTGTTTGTTCGCCGTCGTCTCACAGATGTATATGATGGAGCTTGAGGGGAAATAGATGTTGGCCTAGACCTAAAGCCTTCAGCCACCGGAGCTTTTAGCTTTGTTCGTTGCTCGAAGAAGCCTACAAAAACAAGGTTGGCCCGTGCTTCAAATCCCGAATGCGGAGGCAGTAACGTCGAGGTCCTTACCTTCTTGAGATCGGCGAGGGTATATCTATAATACAAAATCCAATACCGAAGATGATTGGCTGGTTGGTGAAGTGGCCTAACACACTGGTTTTAGGAACCAACTGCAAAGCTGCAGTTTTCTAAGCGCACACCAGGATTCCTGGGTTCGAATCCCAGACTAGTCACTTCTTAAAGTTTTTTTTTACGTTATTGTTTTTACTTCGCCTCCTCAACACATTATGGTCCCCTCACATTAGATCGAGACTTCTTGGTCCAGCTGCAATGTGGCTCGCTCTGTGGACAGAGCCGACTAGCAAAGCCAGTCGTGGAGAAAAGAGAGCTTCGATGACAATTAAAACTAGGAGAAAAGTTTGATACACCCTTAGGATTGGGTGAGATGAACATGAGGAGTACTCAATCAAGTCAAGAGTTTTTGATTATGTTCAGATTTGAAGCAAGGGTATCAACATGCATTGCGAGAAGAAAAGCGCTAGTCGACCTCCTGAAGGATCTCCATTGCAACATTTTGCCTCTCCATGGTGAAAGCTGGCAGGGCGGCAAAAGTCTCGGAAGCAGAAATAGTAGCACTTTTCAACAGCAATTCTTCCTCCATTTCCTCTGTTCCCTCCTTCAAAAGCGTATAGTCGTTACTTATACTTCTTCTCCCATCCGTTTTCTTTCCTCGCTCCCCCCTTCCTTCTCCCGCAATAGGGAAAACGAGGGTTGTGGGAGGATCCAACATACTAATCGGTCTAGCCTTTTTCTGACTCGCTTCACCGATCAATCTCCTTCTAGGTGTGTTAAGATCGGTTTGTTTGAAAGGGGGTCTTACTGGCGAGGCCAAGTTCTCCATCATATTCCGGGTCTGACTGTGAGCTAGTTCCATCAATTTTCCATTCACCTTTCTCAGGCGTTCTGCTTCGGTTTGAAGTTCGAGTATGAATTCATCTTTTTCTTCGATCCGTCGCTGCATCGCGGTGAGTCTGTCGGTGAATTCTCGTTCGACATCTTCGCGGATCTTGGGTGGGGCGTCGGTTGCTTGTGCCTCGCAAACCATTTCTAATTCTTTCACTTCTTGTTGGAGAGAGGCGATGAGTGTGGTTTGGTCCGTGGATGAAGGAGGGATGGGTGGTCGAGACGCGAGTTCAGCTGTAAGCGATGCGATGCGGCGGTTGGCGAGGAAAAGTTTCTCTGCAAGTACGTGCGGCGGATCGGATAGCGTGAGGGAAGGTTTGGTTGGTGACACTGGTCGAGCATAAGAGCTGTTGCTGGTGGACCTAGAACTGCTCGCTGTCAGGGCGGAAGAGGAAGGAGTGCAAAGTCCAGTCCCTTCTTCATCAGAGGCTTCTTCTCCATCGTGTGTTCTACCTCCACGGACGACGAGCGATCCGATAATTTCGAGTCTCTCCTGTAGCTCTCGTATTCTCTCCTCCCCTACAGTCTCCTCTACTTTCTGCTGTTGCAAGTCGAGGACCATCTTTCGCAAGGCATCTGCTTCAGTCTGGTACCGAAGGATGAGTGCTTGTGCCTCAGCGCCGATTTCGCCTCCTACGCCGAATTCGTTCTTCTTCGCGTTCAAGCCGACTTTCTTGATCCTCTTTGCAAAGTTCAGCGTCGACAAGCTTTCCTCCACAGCATTCGGGGTCGGGTTGAGCGTGCATACGACCGCAACCCTCGCATTGCCCGACAAAGAGTTCTGCAGAATTCTGGTGAGTTTGCTATCTCGATAAGGAATGTGAGTTCCAGAATTGCGCTCCGAGAGCGCATAGATCACTTTACCGAGAGTAAGAAGCGATTTATTAATGTGCGAACCTTCCGTTCTCCTCTCCCCACCCTGAGAGATGTACTTTTCCGAACCGGCAAGGTCGATCAGGCAGAGCTCGGAAACGGTGACTTTCTTCCCCACGTCAGCGGGTGTGTTTCTGTCCCAGGATTCGATCGTGATCTTAAAACAGGTGTGCGAGCGGGAGGAACGTTCGTTCCAGTCCGTAGCTCCGACGTGACGGTTTGCTTGGCCTCGAGAGAGGAGTTCGCGAACTTGGGAGGGGCTGGTGACGATTTCTTCTCGGAGTGGTTGGACTGTGGTTCCTTTTCCACCACGTTTTCGTTTGTCGTCGCGGACTTGGGGGATGTTGGAGGGCTCAAGGAGGTCTTTCACGACTTCATTCCAGATTTCGAGGTAGCTTGCGCGAAGGAGATACTCTCGACGAGCGGAAGACTGTTTGATGCCGCGGAAAATGTCGCGGACTGCACGGGGGATGATACCCGCTTCCTCGCCTTTTTCGTCTCCGGACAAGGTGAAGGTTTTGCCGGAGGCTGTTTGGCCATAAGCGAAGACGACAGCATCGTAGCCGTCCAGTGCGGCTCGGATGAGCGGGCGCGCTACAGTGATGTAGACGGGTCCATTCGAGGATCCGGTCTGGATCGAGTCGAATGTGAAAGGACCCACAGAGGAAGTGCGAGCAGCAGAAAGAGAAGGATCGAGGGAGATAGTGGAAGAGTGAATGTTGGGGACCCAAGCACATGGTTCGTTGGGTTTCGGTGGTCGAAGACGGACGTGCACCTGCACAGTCTCTGCATTCGAAGGAGACGAGAGAGTGTCGTCTGCATTGTATACAAAGGAGCTATCTCCTGCCGCATTGTCCGCTTCAATGGCGCTAGAATCAATATTGGTATCGGGTAGCCAGTTGGAAGAGGAGTGAACGTGGGATGCCGCATCAAGTACTCGCTCTGGTTCACGAATGAATTGTTGCAAGGGGTGTGCTGTTCGAGTGAATGACGCGGCCATACGCTGCTGATCGTGCGAAGCGGCTGCTCGAAGTGCTGAGGTGGACGCATGCTTCTTCGGCGATCGGATGCGAGCAGCAACGTCGGCTGAGACAGGCGCTTTGATCTTAGGCGTCAAAGGTGTCGCAGCTGGGGTGGTTGTGCAAGCTGTCATGGTGGTTGGCGTGTGCGAGCGAGGTCTCGCCTGCGGTTGCTGATCCTGAGCAGACGGTGCGAAGGTCGATCGTGTCTGGAGCAGAGGAGTAGTGGCGGCAGAGATAGGTGTGCTGAAAGGTTCTCTTACTGTGACAGGCGGTGCGAGCGTGCGAGGCGTTGATCGGGTAGTTCTTGCTGGTCTCTGAGGTGATGTGACTGTGGCCTGGCTCAGTTGGTGACGAGCAGATGACGTGAACGGCGAAGCGTGGGAAGTCTTTTCCAGTGCTGATGCTGGTCTCGCAGGTACAGATAGGCCAAGCTGATCTCCAGTCACCAGAACGCTGTGCCTCTTGCTCACTCCCACGGTCGGTAACGAGTCCGCACTCGCAGTAGCCTCAGATACGAGATAGGTGTAAGGAGCTGTTTTCGTCAGCTTGCGTTTCGGTACGAAAGGCTCCCGTACAGCCGCGGATGATAAAGAGCGTCGGTCTTCCAGGTTGAACTCTGTGTCGATGGGCGAGGATCTGATACGAGTGGTTGTGATGGTGGTCGCGGATGCTGCTGTGGCCCACGTGACTGCAGGTGACATGAGTGGGTGCAGACCTAGCGTTGCATGCATACACCTACACGATGTTTGTGCAGCTGCAGCGCAGTTCAAGCTCTACTGAAATATGCAGTTTTATGAAGTCTCGAAGCAAGTCAAAGTGTGTGGTATTCCAGAGGAACGAAAGTGCGTTCAGGATCGAAGCCAGGGGGTCGAAGTATATCGTGTATCCCAGAGGAAGGATATATTGGGTAGGAATCCGGGGGTATGCTTGAAGTCGTCTATAGTGCGATCCGATGATGGTGAAGACAGAGCAGATGGTCAATGCTTGGATCTACGTTGCCAAGCCTCGCTCATTCATTTGTGCCCTGCTGGGAGAGAGAGGCAGAGCTGAGGAGGACGGCATGTGACGTGTTGAACCTTGCCGGAGCTGAATCTGTGCGAAAGGCGGCAGAAAAAGACCAACACTTCTCGCCCGCCAAAATACGCGTGTTTCGGCAGAGGCAACCGTTTTCCTGCACGTGACGAATGATAATCGAGAGTCTAACACGCTTTAAAATTGCTGTCTGCCACACTCGACATGCTTGGCAAGCAGTTGAAATTAGATACACCACTCAGGAGGCCATGGTCAGGCACTCCTTTTAGTCTGATGCTACTATGTAAAAGGCTTAGATTTGTAAGGAGGTAACGACTAAGCTAAGGGCATATATACATATTCTCGGCACCTGACTGTGCTCCCTTTGTCGAGTCATGCCCATGTGCCACGTATCTTCTTTCATAAGGGTTGTCATATCAACATATTCCCTGCATACCATGGTGTCAATCCTCGTGCATAGGCTGCATTAGCTCCCACTAGCTTCGCATTCTGCTTGTCCTCCTCATTGCCTGATGCCTTCCCAATTCCCCAATCTTGTGAGCTCCTATTTAATACATCACGCGTCGGCGATGTCGGTGCATCTTCAACTCCCCCCCTCAACGGCATATCCAATCCTATCATTCTTGATATCCTTGTCGTGTTGAGTCCCTTGAGAGGTTTCATGAGTATGTCAGCCACATTGTTGGCCGTTCCGACGAACTCGATTGATATGTCACCATCTTGCACATGATCCCTAACAAAGTAGTATCTGGTATCGATGTGTTTGAGTTTCCAGTGTTTGGCCGGATCTTTACTGACTTGTATGCACCCCTGGCTATCAGTGCGCAGCGTTGGCTTGACTCCAGATACTCCTAGATCCCTGAGTAAATGTGAGAAGAAGAGTGCTTCTCTTGCTGCTTCAGAGGCTGCGACCAGTTCCACTTCCACTGCCGATAGTGCCACACACTTCTGTACATGTGATTTCCAACTAACCGGACATCCATACACATATGTGATTGCTCCGGACGTACTCCTACGCCCATTTGTAGGGTCAGAGGCCCAATTCGCATCGGTATACGTAACCACCGGTTGGTCTGCGTGACTCCTGTGCGCTCCTCCTAAATTTAAGTGGTAATCGCTTGTCTGGTTCAGGTACTTTAACAAGTGTATCGCAGCACTCCAAGCACTGTCAATCGGTTCTGACATGTATCGTGTCAAAGCTCCTACTGCAAACGAGATGCCTGGCCTCACTGTGTTGGACACCCATAAAAGTTGCCCCACTAGCTCTTGATATCGTTTGGCCTGATCTGGGTTGCACTTATCTCCTCCGGCGATTCCTGCTACACTCTGCATTGGGACCCAGG